GGAACAACTGGTGGAGCAGTATTTAAGCGGCGGTACGACAACGACACCGTCGCCGCCGCACCGGACGATCTTCGGCTCCCAGAAGTCTAACGAATTTAATGTATCGAAAGGGACGGCCAATCGGAACACTGGCGTCGGCGACAGTAATAAGACTGAGATTCTGCAGCGACTCCTGTCCTCTAATGATGACGACTCGCCGGGCACCCCGACCCCCAACGCAGCCAATGCTTACAATACGGCGCTTATGGCCACTAATATGCCTGGTATTGAGAGACCAATTGGTGGTAGCAGTGATTGTAAGTATTGTTTGGTTTAATGGTGAAAGCAGTGGTCAATGAGATAATTATGATTTTGATTTCGTTTTTGTTTTGTATATAATTATATGACATAATGTTTGTCTCGAGATATCCATTGAATTGTTGACTAATCACGAGATCTAATGAATACTCGATTGACTCACTGTTTGCTTAGTATTCTTTGAATTTGAAATTCACAAGAAGTTTATGATATGATGTTTAAGAGATTTAGTAAATTGTTTTCATCTCTGAAAGCGTTCGCGAGTGGTGTGCCGCCACTGGTTAGGCCTAACTCCCAGTCCCCGTCCGGCAAGAAAGACATACTGACTGAAGCCATGGGAGAGATCATCGAGACGTCAATAGTGGATGAGATGAATGATGTGATTGTCGACGATTCCAGCGATGGCGCGAATGTGAGCCCTTTGAATGGTGGGCCCGATGAGAGCCAATCGGTCGACAATTCGGTGATCTATGTCGAGGGCGTGTCCGAGAATATGACAAAAGAAGACTGGATTCAGTTGTTTAAAAGCAGCGGTTATCAGATGCAGGAAAGCGATTCCCAAGAGGTTTGTGTAGTATCTGTTGACTTGAAGTTTGCAAAAATTCGTTTTAATTGAATCCGTTTTAGTCGCAAACCATCGATGGATGTGGCGATAAAAGCGCCGAAGAGTCGCCGCAATCGGACAGCCAGTTAGTGACGATTCAAATTGACGACAAGACATTGGCGGAGATGACGAGCGACGATGAGATGGTCCAGATTGTGGTGAACGTGTCGGGCGATGGCAATGATCTACAAATGGTTGTCTGCGATGATGATGACAGCCCTCTAGTCAGTGACCAAAACGGTGGCAATAATGGGACCAATAAAGTACAAAACGATAGCCAATCGGACGCTGAAGTCAATAAAGAGAACAAAGAGCACCCGTTGGTTACGGCACCGGCACCGACACCACCACCACCACCACCGCCCACGCAATACTTATCAATGCCTACGATATCGTTTGATGACAGCGCCAGTGATGATAGGCATGAGTCTAAAAGCACAGCCGATAGTGACTATGAAAATGATGACAATAACGACTCGAATGGTGGCAATAATGAGATGTTTGCTGAAGAAGTTGTCGACAATATGGAGGCAAACACTGAGATGAGCGATGAAGTGGTCGATAATAATGAGAGTAATGATAATAACGAGTCAAACGTCGAGACAGTTGCCGATAAGAGCGATGAAAATGCCGATAAAAATAGTAACGAAACGAATGTCGAAGTAATAGCCGATAAAAGTGAGACAAATAGTCAAGTCGTGGATCAAAACGACGAGAAATCAGATGAATGCGAAGAAACCGTTGAGAAAAATGTTGAAAAGAGTGATACCGTAGAAGATAGTCATGACTTAGGTCTCGACGACATTGATTCCGGTGAAGAGGACGAGACAACTGAAAGTGTTGCCAAAGAGACCGAAACTAATGTCGAGAGCGTTGATAAAAGTAGTGATAATTTGGATGAAAATGAGAAAAGTGTGGAAAGGGATGAGGAGTCGAGTCAATTGGACGACACTATCACCGACACCACTGACAAAACAAATGATACGTCGAGCGAAACTCGCGTCGAAAACGATGTCCAAAGGGATGACAATCGCAACGCGGGTCCCAACGAGTCGCCCACGAAGTCGTCGGACGACAGTAGTGTCGAAATCGATGTCGAGAATTGCGATTCAATTGATGGCGACAAAGAGGTGACCCAAAAGCTGGTGACACTCATCGAGCGCTCGCACGACGACGACTCGGTGGACGTGAATATCAGCAGCGATTCCGACGACAAGGAGACCACGGATTCGGTGCTCGAG